AACCCTAACCCTAACCCTAACCCTAACTCTAACCCTAACCCTAACCCTAACCCTAACCCTAACCCTAACTCTAACCCTAACCCTACACAGAATTTTTTTTTTATATAAAAAAACGAAACGAATCCTTCTGACTTGGTACGATTCGGAATCGTTCGGCTATTTCTGGAAAAATGATTATTTCTCCCTGGTGCAATAATTCTCAGTGACGACCCCGCCAAAGTTCCTTGAGAGGATAGGCCGCCTGGCCGCACCTGAGCTGTGACGCTCCTCATCACAGCCACTGGGAGAGCAGACTACAGAGCGAGATGGCGCGTGACGTATGCAAATGCTTACGTCATGGGGAAGCTCCAGAACGCCTCAAAGAAGCTATCCGAAGCTATACCACGCGTGTTTAGCTGAAGCTGACAACCTCCACATCAGCAATCATCATGGTGAATAATAGATGCTCCGATGTTGCGTCGAGCGTCCTGCACATACAGTTGCATGGTGTTAGATATGTATTTCCCCCAGACGTGTACAGGCATAAAGACAATACCGTAAAACCTCAAATCTTTACAAATGCAATGTAATGTAATGTAATGTAATGTAATGTATTGTAATGTAATGTAATGTAATGTAATGTGAATGTAATGTAAATGTAATTTAATGAGTTTCTAATGGTTATGTATATGTTGATTGCGGCTTGTACGTGCCGCTGGCGTGCGTGCGTGGCGTGCGTGCGTGCGTGTGTGTGTGGCGTGTATGTGTGCTGTGTGTGTGTGTGTGTGTGTGTGTGTGTGTGTGTGTGTGTGTGTGTGTGTGTGTGTGTGTGTGTTATGCAGTGTAATGCAATGCACGTACAGTGGTCCCCGCTTTTTTTGGCATCGGGCAAACTGGTGCTTAAATGAAAACGCGTTGAAAAAAAAACTTTACGCATATTGTGCTCATTGCTTAATCGGGATATTTTCATGGTTCCGGCCTACCCCAATAAAACGGGGAGAACCGCATAAACTTCATAGAATAGCTGTTGGTTTAATTTATTAGCCATCTGACCTCTTATAATGTTAGTGTATCATATAGGTAATTAACAGATCCAAGTGTCATCTTTGTTGATTTACTTGTTACCTGTTACCTGTTACCTATCCACTTCGCACCTGGTGGCGCATAGGGCCAAGGCGTTTGTTTCTTTACAGTACTTTTTTGGTTTTGCTGCCGTTTTTTACACCTTACATGGGTGTTTAACAGGACCACGCTTTGTCCGAATGTTACGCGATAATATTAGTGGCGGATAGTCGCCGAATGTTTCTTCTCTCCACAGTGATTGAGTTGAGATGACGCAATGACATTCGTTGCCACATGCAATGTTTGTTGTTGTGTTTAGGTTTGCAACCAGCAATGTTATTGTACATACACGGATGCTTGGGAGCCGTGCAAACACGACGAAAACAAGTAGTGTTCTGGTAATAAAGGAAAGTTTATTATTTGATGTATTCTGAATTTTTCCAGACAAAACTATCGCCACCATTTCCTAACAATGCAGAGTGAAGCTGCTGGGTGCAGCTGAAGAGTGTTGCGCTGATGTTGCCTGGCCTTATTGCATTGAAGTATTTCTCATAATGTCAACAATGTGTACACTTGCTTGTCTGCGCGCGCGTGTGCTCGCTTTTATTTGTATATATAAAAGGTCAATAACTATAAATGTAATCAAGAATAGAAAAATTATGACCATTTAGCCTATAACATAAAATAACGCATAACTCTAAATCTGCGATGTATTGCGAAAATTTCTGTACATTGTAAAAGTTTTTCGGAACGTGACAAACAAAATCAGTATAGTTGCATGCCGACGATAAAAATCATGTAGCGAGCATTAATCATGCAAACATTTGCATCCCCATGGACGTATGTAATACTGTACTCAATCTCAAGATTGAGGTACGTCTAATGCAAAATAATCAATAACGCAAATAATTCAAATCAGCCAAACAAGCGTTATAGTACACCTGCACGCCGGTGTAGCCTGAGCTTATATATGCATGGTCAATAATGATATGCATCTATCATACAGAGTCCACGCGTTGCACACATAATAGCATCTGAGAGTTCACGACTCGATGAGTTATCTAAGCGTTTGGACAGCATTCATCAGGGCGTCCATCTCTTCAGCTGTAGGCTCCACATACTCTACTGTGCCGTCTGCCCGAGTTACGACGCCCGGAACATACTTGCCAGCATTCTTCTTTGCTTGGCCCTAAGGGAGTTAAAAACACTTGGTCTTGAACAGTTGTCGTAGTAGGTACACTGATATCCTTTTAAAACATTTATTTGATTCGGACTCATTGATATTGTCTGATTTATGAATGTCATTGATGAGATGAAAATTGGTTTAGTCTTTTTACAGAACACCCATTTTCTATACTATAGCTGGCCCACCCGCCCATTGTTATAATGCCATGGCCATTGGCATACCACAAATTTCAAGCAAAATAAAAAGTGAGTACACTAATATGTAGTTATGTTAACAACCTTGAGGCAGTCTGTGAGACACGACATACATCCGGCCTTGATGAGACAGCAGAGGGTTATCACACCAATGACAGTTGCAACAACGCAAAGCAATCCAATCTCAAACATGCGTGACTCTGCTTTTCGTCCATCCGCGGGTCCTTTCACTATCTACAGACAGCCCAGAAAATCCAGATAAGTATGGATGTGTATATATATTACTAACAACCATTCTGAGATTAGACTAAAGGGAAATAGACAAACGGTAAGTTGATAAAATGGAAGTAGACCAACCGGGATCTTCTCGTAGGCACTGTGTATTTGTTAGAGGGGTTGTTCGACGTTAACGCTGCTAAATTGCTCTCTACCTCGACTGAAGGAACTGTCGCCATGTTTTGATCCACCAAACCAATGAAACCATCCATTGTAAATTCGACTGGGGCGGAGAGTCATGAAGCAACAGTTGGGAAGGCTAGACACGTTCTTCGTGCTCGCGAAACTACTACCAAAATACCTCCAGGCAGAGAAATGCTAGAGACACTTTTAATTTAATATATACATCAGATGCGTCGCACAATCCGCGGGCTAATCTCTCTCTCTCTCTCTCCCTCTCTCTCTCTCTCTCTCTCTCTCTCTCTCTCTCTCTTTCTCTCTCTCTCTCTCTCTCTCTCCTCTCTCTCTCTCTCTCTTCATTATCTCTCCCTATCTCCCTTATATCTCTCTCTCTCTCTCTCCCTATCTCCCTATCTCCCTACTCTCTCTTCTGCTCTTCTCTCTCTCATCTCTCTCCTCTCTCTCTCTCTCTCTCTTTCTCTCTCTTCTCTCGTTCTCTCTATTCTCTCTCTTTCTCTCTTTCCTCTCTTTCTCTCTTTCTTTCTCTCTCTCACTCACTCACTAATCTCTCTCTCTCTCTCTCTCTCTCTCCTCGCTCTCTCTCATCGTCTCTTCTCTTCTCTCTCTCTCTCTCTCTCTCTCTCTCTCTGTGTGTCTCTGTGTCTCTCTCCCTTATCTCTCTCTTTCTATCTCTCTCTCTTCTCTCTCTCTCTCTCTCTCTCTCTCTCTCTCTCCTCTCCCCCTATCTCTCTCTCTCTCTCTCTCTCTCTCTCTCTCTCTCTCCCTCTCTCCCTATCTCTCTTTCTTTGAACGTAAGGTCCGCTCAGGCAGTATATATATATATATGCCATCTAGCGGTCTCTTGTTCTGAAAGTTATTATATAGTTACAGTTATTAGTTATTAGTGGCTTACTTGTAGCCACCCATGCCTGTGCATGGTTTCTGGTGCAATATTTCCCTTTGCTCCTTGCTCCCGCGGCGCAAAGCATTACAGATAATTGGGGTCGGTGGTTGTTATACAGTGCTTTCTCATTCCGGAGACTGAGGTGTGACGCCCCGTATTATTGCGTTTTATTCGGGACTTTTCTCAGATATTGCAGAAGTTCAGAAGTTCAAAGTAAATAGCATATAGGGTTAAATAGCTCCTCTCTTGGGGGTACATATCAGACAGCTTCTCTTTTGGCATTATTATACAGTGAAAGAAAACGGGCCAACAGGATCTTTCCATCTATATAAGTGAATTACCAGGGTCGTATATAACTCATTTTGCCTGGTGAGCAAAGTTATGTGGTTGGTGTGGGTCACCGATTAAGCACCAAGGCCCGAGGCCGCAACCGTCCCTCTGCCCTTCCCTCCACTATATAAAGCTAGCTATACTATCAACTTTTAGTTGTAAAGTTGACGAGTCGATCAACTTTCCCACTTTTCGACCAAATGTCGGCAGTGTAAACGTAAAATTTGTGCGCTCAACCAGTTGATGTCAGTTTCTCAACTTTTGGTTAGCGAGTTGATCAACTTTTTGCCATGCAGCCACTCAGATAATAGCAATACGGAGGTGTGTCCCTCCACCCAGGGGAAGATTATTTGCACGCGCGTTTCTGCTATCGGCGGCACACTTGATACACCGGGCGCGCACTGCGTGTGAAATGTTGAAACGTTTGCTGACTCGCGTTCGATAATGTAAATGCGCTAAACATCTGATAGAAAATTAAGTTGATAGGATGTTGAGGAGTTGATCAATTCGTCGACTTTTTAACTAAAAGTTAATAGCGTAAACCCATTAATAAATTGCTATTATATTGGTTATGATATGCTCGTCCCACCTCAATACCATTACTGCCACTGGTCTCTGGATCTCGCACGACGCCAGTATCCACATTAGTTGCCTTCATATAGCTATCTGTGACTTTTTCCACATTCCAATTTGTATCCAACTCGTTTCCAGCTATGTCGTTGACATCCCAACCTGCAGAACTGCGTGAATTTCTGAAACTGGGCCTTCCTAAAAGATAATATAGACCGTACCAACATCATGATAGTTATCCCTATCTATTTCTAAGCATTTGTCTACACACGCCCCCACCACACACGCACGGACGCCTGCACGCGCGCGCGCACGCACGCACGCACGCATTTTTATTATTTGCAATAATAAATTATTAGAAATTGGCCATGATAACTAAATGGTGAATAGACTAGAGAGCTCTAGAGGGTATAATATAGTTATATACACTGCACAGTCGCTGAGTAATATTGGTGAGTAACCCCAGAGCATAATAAATCACCATTACTCACCAGTGATTTATATGCTCTGGTAACACTCCACAGTATATAGCGTAGTGCCGCCATCTATTGGAAATACGGGGAAAAATATCCAGATGAGACGGGATACTAGAGAAGCGTTGCGAAAGGGTGTTAATCCGAAGTGCTGCGCGATCTTGCGCGGCAGTTCCGCGGCAAGGCGCACGGCGACCGCGGGAACGTCCTACGACAGTATGCAGCGCTGGCAGCTATGGATCGTGCGCCGAATGCATAGGCCAGCGCACGAATCCATAGCTGCCAGCGAACAGTCCGCAATTTTAGTGGGGACACAGAGGGCAGACATTTGGAACGTGAACAGTGTTCTTACTTGTTATAAAAAACTGTAACGAGTAATCTGTTCGTACCGAGCTGTGTCACGCGAAATCACAGAAAGACTGTCGAAATTCTGACATTCGCGACCTACACGCCTCCCCGAGACAGTAAGCACTACAGCAAGCTAGAGAAGTAACACTTATTGAGCCAGCTTTTTACGGCTGAGTGAATTGGAATTGGTAAATAGAATTTTGTGTACCAGGCCAAAAGTCAAGACTGGCATAATGCTGCTAAACATGGGAGGGCCGAGCGATTTGGATGGTGGTGCAAGACTTTCTACACCGACTCTTCAGTGATAAGGATCTCATACCGCTCCCCTTTCAGAGTATGCACACAACAGTAGCCAAAGAGATTATGAAACGCATAGAATTATCTGATACCACTGCCCTTCCAAATGTGCTTAAATAACAGAATACAGGATATACAGCCTGATAAAGAGACATACTCTCAAAGGCTCTATTTTCTATAAAATGTACACATATATTTCTTGCTTATTCTCAATGTTACAGTAAGCTTGTCCTGGATTGCGAGAAGACGCACACCAAAAATTCAGCAATACTACAGAGAATCGGGGGGTCCCTATTCTGGACAGACATTCAGGGTCAGGGTTTGGTTGACAAACTGGATACAATGTGTCCCGAGACAGGTACGTTTCTCATGTGTTTTTTCAGCAGCTTTTGTTTTATGTATTGATCATTCGAGTGAGAGCTTGCAGATTCATGCGAGAGCTAACCATAGGATCATGCGTCACGCAGTTCTAAAACGATTAAATAGGGCTAATGAATATGCTAATCAGTCCATAAATGTTTGCGTAGAATGTTTTCAGACAGAAGTGGCTTAGGACTTTAAATGCCTTGCTAACAGTGAACAGTTTTGCAGATTCTCAACTGTCGGGTAACTTTTGGCAAAATCACCCTAATTTACCTAAACACTTCTCGCATTCCAGTGTATCTCGTTGAGGTATCAGAGTACATTAATTATTAGCTCATCTGACGAAGCAGAGGCGAGCTTGTAGAATCGCATGATTGTCCGTCCGTCCGTCCGACCGTCAACAGTTGGGCACAAATCTTAACCGCTTGACGTACGGTCACGATATTCGAGACGTTGGGGGGGGGGGATCATGAAAGGACTCAGGATGACAAATTTGGGGTCAAGGGTCAAAGGTCAAGATGTGTAAACGGAGGGGGAATAATTTTCCCCTTAACTTAAGGTATAGGAGAAAATACGGAATTGCGGCACAAATCTGAACGGCTCACCCTATGCTCTTATAATTCGGTGTATAGTGTGATGGGCAGGAAACCATCACCAGTGCGAAATTGGAGGTCAAAGGCAGTGGGGGAAAGGTCAGATATCAGACATTTCTTAGGACATGGTCTAATGGACAGAGTGACAAATTTTTTGTTTCAGCGCTGACCTACCATTTTTTATCACTTTATTGAAAGGACCATGAAATGTGCTTTTCCACTGACGTGCGAATAGTAAGTGTCTGATAACATTTTGACCTTCAGGAGGAGGGTTAAACATGGATTCCTGAACTGCCTCAATGATGGTCACAGTGTTGTCAATTCATGGCACATCCATAATGCTAGAAACCC